AAGCCAGAGGGAAAGAGAGACTGCAGTACAAGAGATGTGGTTGTAAAAGTATTTAGTGCTAGCAGCGAAAAAAGCATTGGAGGGGGAGCACTCAAAATAGTTGGTAAAGTAGCATACTTTCTTACCGATTGTGCTCTCGGCCCAGGAGGTCATTTTAAATTTAGTTCCATGTAAAATGAACATAGATGGCAGCAGCATTGCACCGAGGTGTCATGGCCGCCATGTTGCCAACCAATAACATGGGAGTTTCACGGGTTCACGGGGCTGGTGGAGACCGTCATTAGTAGCGGTCATTAGTCATTAGGAAGAGCAATAGTCTCAAATTTGAGTATAGAGGGTAGTTGTAATGCTTCCGCGTCGTAATGTCAGTCATGCTGCCCGCCAATAACATTGAGTTGCCAAGGGTTGGAATCAGTTTTTGCTGTTAAGTGTGGTGTATCGACGCGAATTGTGGTCGTGGAAGTGGAATGCGTGGCTGACAGTTTGTCGTATTCCGAAGCAGACGCTTGTTTACGAGCACTTCAAAATTGTATTTTCTAGCACTTGAATGCTGAATGTAATGATGTGAATGTGAGTACGCCTATTGTATTCCCTAGTGCAAATTATTTCGTTTTGCTACCGCACTGTTCACTGTTTACTATTTCGTTTTGCTACCGCACTGTTTACTGTTTACTACCTGGAAAGCGCAGACCGCGCAGACTGTGTGGTCTGTATAGCGATTGGCTACTGGCTGAACGAATAAGGGGTTGGCGTTCGAGTCCCGATGGAAGCAAGAATTTTCACTTTTCCATGTCGTTCAGACCAGCTCTGTGGCCCACCCACCTTCCTATCCAGTGGGTACCGTGGGTAAAGCGGTCGGGGCGTGAAGTTGACCACTCACTACCAACTAGTGTCGAGGGAAAGAAAACATGGGTCTATACATTCACTCCCATTACGTATACATGGCATAGTGCTTAATTACTTAAGTACAGGGACAGCTTTACCTTTTACTGTGCTGTGTATTTAGCTCTGCTGGGTGCTGCTGTAGGCAGTTTAACAGAGAAGGGAGTCGTTTCCATGAGATTTGCGATTCAAGTGATCGTGCCTTATGAAAATTGTTGTCTTCTGGTATGTGTCGTAGTGTAATCTGGTAAGTAGCTACCAGTATTTCTGGGAAACTTATGCACCAGTTTTAGGGTAAAGTAAGTAAGTAAAGCTGTCCCTGTAAGAGGCTGTGAAGGCCCATAGGGTTGTCAGATGTTGAGGGTCCCACATTATCTAGACAATCGGCTCAAAGATGGCGGTAAGGTTGTGTCTTACGTGCCGGCCGTGCTTTACTCCCCAGGAAAATTATTTAAGTAATTCGTGGTATTCATTTCTGTTAAGAGGTTGAGATGACCCCAGAGCACTAGTGAGGCTGGAAGGATTAGGTCAAATGAAAAAAATCCAGTGACCTCATCGGGACTTGAACCCGCGACCTTCTGGCAGATACTTTGGAAACACTGGTAACTTGCAGACCACATGACGTCACATCATAGGTTATAGCAATTTTCATGATTTTCTGTGATGAGTTGAAGACTTGAGGAGCTTATGAATGTATAGTCACAAGGCCAAAATGTTGATATTTATTACAGATGAGCGATTCCGAAGAGTTTTATGAATTTGCTGCACTGAAGCTGACAAAATCTATTTGTTCAGAGGTAATCACAGTTTTTAGTTATGTCACAAATCACATGTTTATGTGTGTTCATTATGTAGTGGAACTATGAAGAAACAGTGGGAAACCACAAGAGAGCAATGTACTCCAAATGCCCCACATATATCAGAAATTGATGTACCTACATTCTGCCATACTTGTATTTCAGACCATCCTTGCAGTGCATTAAGAACCTGGACTCTGGTTTCAGTTTTCGTTACAGTTAACAGGTTTTATACAACTCTCCTGAAGTACCTAATTCTGTAAATTAGCATTGATTATGAATCTGATTTGAGATATATCCCACATGCATACCTTTGTAACTTTTTTACTGAATGTAACTTGTATATTAGCGCCATGTTTTATTTATTGTGTATTTCAAATTCCTTTTTTAGTAAACTTGATGCTTTCATGGTGCTTTGCTTCATGGGGACTGGAGTGCCACTTGCTGCAGAACACCTGCAAATATTGCCAATAACATCTGGAATGAAGGGAACTTGTTATCTTTGTTCACAGATCACAGGAGGTGTTGAAAATGGTGTTCCTCTACATATAAATATCTTTTGCAATTAATTGTTTCGTTAAAAAACACATACACAACAATCCTTGAACTTACAGCACACCAGACACCAAGTTTCACTGGATGGCTTCAGCAGTTGTGTTGTCACTCTTGCACTAGACTGACAGTCCAGTTTCCTGAGCTAGACATTCCACTGATTTTCTACGTTTAGTTTCAAGTCTGGCCTCCTATGTTATCTAACTTCTCAGTAAGCATTAAGTTTATTTACCAAATTATGGATTGTTTGTCTGCTGTGAACTCTTTCGTCATGAAATTTATGTCAAAAGTTTTGTTCACACTTTACAGCAGATCTATATTTCACATAGGTGTCATAAAGAAGTACACGTTGCTCTAAAGCAGTGTTTCTCAACTGCCAGGCCAAGGCCCCGTACCAGGCCCAGGCATCATTTATAAAAGAATTTACTGGGCTGCGGTCTGACAAAGGTTGAGTACCACTGCTTTAAAGTATAGTGAACCATGTCATGCCACATGGCTGACTAACTGTTAACTGGGAGCAAATGGCGCATGGTGCTGGTAACTACTGCCTCCTGCTGACAAATCAGCACACATGAACCACATTTGTCTCCATGTAACATAATACTATGTAGAGGTCTACAAGTTCATTATTTTCCTTCATTCCAAACATTATTATCCATCAGACATGCTGAGTCATCTGCAAAACTCGCATGCATCTCATGGCCGAAGGTGTACTTGTCCCCATGAAGTGCAGAGCCGTGAATACTTCAAGTTTACCAAGAAAGACCCTGTAGAAAGCTGTTATATTAAAACAGCTATAACCCGTCTGTTTTTAATGTTTTCTTGGGATATTTAAATACTTGGAAGAACCACATTATGACTTGCAGTTGCATTACAAAATTGTTTCATACAGGATATATAATTTAAGAATTAACTGCTTTCTGTAAGCCTTAACAGCAAACTTAAGACATAAGAGTGCAACAGGTGCCTAGGTTTTGCAGACCCCTTCTTCCCTGAAATACCCCACACTTTACTGGAGTTTTGAAATTCTGGCTGCTTCTATGCATACACCACATGTTAAGATAATGTTTCTATACATGGAAGCAAAGTTTTTCTGTGAGTATATCTGCATTGTCTTGATGAATATTTTTTTTTCATTTCATGCAGAGAGTGACAGCTATTCACATATGCTTTACCTGTTAGTGTGAAAGGGTGTCAGAGCTCAATTTTCTCATTGTGCAGAGGTACTTCAGGAATAACATGTGAATTTTCTTTACATGAATATCAGTTGTGGGAATGTTCACATATCCACATAATCAAAACCATGCCGCTTTGGTATAAAAATAAGTCCTGGATCAGGGAGACTGGTTCCTGAAACCATCTGCAATGCTGAATTTTCACTTTACAGTTTTGTGCAGTAGTCTCTACAGCAATTTTGTTCCTGTCTGATCTGTACATCTTGATATTTCAACTTTGAAGAGACAGAAGTGTAATGACTTTCCTGCGCTTGCATTTAATTGATCACAAATGTAATCAAGTTTATCTTTCATTATTACATATACTTTTTATTTTTTTTTTATTTAGCACCGATCTGTGGTTCAGAACTTGGACACTATTTTATAAATTGTCACTTTTCACAACATTGCACTGTCAAGATATTTTCAGCAAAACTCTTTGATGTGTCCTCCATGAGGAATGTTTCACAAAATGGTTGAAGAGTTCTGTTTTCTGGGATATAACACCATGTAGCCCCTTGAATGTCTACCACCATTTTGGAGGAATATGTCTTCTTCATCTTCAGGGTCAAAGAATAAGCAAAACAAGAAAACATTGTGAAACATGTAGCAAGGAGAGCATATTCTTTGTTCAGTTGTATTGTAGCATCCTGTCACACATCATTATTCAACAGATGTCACTGATTCACCATCTTATGTGCAATGCATCCTTCTAAAACTAATTTAAAAGTTTCTTATGTCACACAGTTTTTCTTTTCTAAAACTTTATTTAAACGCTTCTCTATCCACTGAATGATTCGACCGACATTGGCCCTCATCAGGTGTTTTTTTAAAATTGTTTGTGAAAACTGCTGTGGTTCCATTTTGTGGTCCTAATATTTGATGTGTAGGCCCATCTAAATGTCTAGAATGCAAGTTGCAGTGTATTCTATGGTGCTGGGTGGCTGTTCCTGCCATGTTGTGTCTAGACCCAGCACTTTGGAATGCACAAGCATGTAGGTGGGGCCACACATTGAATATTATAACCACAAAATGGAAGCACAGCTGTTTTCACCAACAATTTTAAACACATGATGATGACTAGGGTCAGTCGAAGCATATGATGCAGTGTGCAGAAACTTTTAAATAAGGTTTTAAAGAAGATGCATTGTGTGATGTAAGAAACTTTTAAGTAAGTTTTAGAAGGACACATTGCACATAAGATGGTGAATCAGTGATATTTGTTGAATAATTCAGCGGTATATTTAATTTACTTTCACATCACACAGTAGACCTCTGCACCATGTACCTCATTTGCATGAGGAAAACCAAGTGATATCAGACATCCTATGAGTGATCAATGTGACAGAGTTTATCTAAATATCAGCACTTTTTCAAGAGGCTTCTCTAACCCTATCAGACATTCTGTGAGTCAAGGTTACAGGAAGTAATAGCTGGCAGCAAGGGTTTTTCTTACTATCATCATACTTTCAAGAGGCCCACCTGCTCTAAAATGCTGTTCCTCATAGGTTGCAGTACATTTGATTACTAATGATGGAAGTAGTAATGATATCTGTGGACCACAGATCTTTCCATTAGTGAGTGTTTGGCAGCTATAGTGTCAGTTGTCTGGTGCTGTGACTGTTGTGTCTGTTTTCTGATGAACCTCCTGTATTTCCATTTACTGAATGTTACATTGCAGTCATTAGGTTTCAGCTTCAATTCTAGGTTGGAAATCCATAATCTAAACCTCACTTTTTCTTAGCTAATGATGTAGATAGTGTTAGGTAGGCCACACACCGGCATGCGTCAAGACATGTAACAGTAAAGACACGATGACTGCGACATGACACAAAGAAAGGAGCACAGTTGAAACAAATGAGATTATGAAAACCACCACAAACCAGTCTGAGTCATGATGCTGACAAATCATGAATGAAGCAAGACTGCATCTTTTGTCTCATGTCTTGATGCTTGTCTTGACACATTTGGTATGCAGCCGCCCTTATAGTATCTTAAAATAAGATGTGACTGCTTGCTTGTACATCCTTTCCAAATCATTATTCAGAATCACCCTGACATTTGTTGCAGTATAACCTGTGCAATTAACAAAGTGTCAAAACATAAATATATATGATGGGGTACCCAAAAGAAACCGAACTAATTTTTTTGTGGGCAGAGCTTTTGTAGTACCGTGTTTTGCAGCTATGAGCGCATAGAGCTAACATTCCTGAGTCAATAAGCCAACTACCGTTGCTTCAGAAGGTAAGGACTAGTTTCGGCAGAGTTTATAGTGACAACTGTTTTGTGTGATCATCGTTTTTGCAATGGCTGATTTTCGTGAACAGCGTGCAGCGGTGAAATTCTGCTTTTTGCTCGGGAAAAGTGGAACAGAAACTCTTGAAATGTTAAAAACGGCGTACAAGGACAATGCTATGGGGAAAACTCAAGTGTTTGAGTGGTTTTCCCATTTCAAAAATGGTGAAATGTCAATTGATGACAAACCTTGTTCTGGTCGTCCTTCCACGGCCCGAACACATGAAAATGTTGAAAAAATTCGTGAAATCATCAAGGAAGATCGACGACGGACCATTGAAGAAATTGTGGAGCTGTCGGGAGTGACTTTGACAGAAGATTTGGGAATGAAAAGGGTGGCTGCGAAATTCGTGCCATGACTGCTGACTGCTGAACAAAAACAAGGTTGCATGGAAGCATGCTGTGCTTTGAAAGAAGAGTCCCGACTTTTTTTTGTTTCCTCGAATTAAAAGAGACATGAAAGGAAAGCGTTTTGCTGATGTTGCTGAGGTGAAGGAAAAAACGATGGAGGCGCTGTCAAGCATCTCAAAAGATGAATTTAGACAATGTTTTGAAAAATGGAATAAAAGACTAGACAAGTGTATTAGTGTAAGTGGAGAGTACTTTGAAGAGGATTGAAGGTTTGTGCTTAAAATTTGAATAAATAAGTTTAAAAAAAATAAGTTCAGTTTCTTTTGGGTACCAACTCGTATACTAACAATGCCTGTGTGCAGATGTGTGCGCCTATGGTCACTGGCCAGTAGGTGATTTGACCATCAGCATATAGCCATACCATTCATGAGCAGAGCATCTTTTAGCATTCATTGTAATGGGATGTAATTACATCACAATTTAACCACAGTAAACACAGTCATGTGTTTAAATGAAACTTATAGTAAAGTCCGTATAGGGAAACATTTGTCTGATAAATTTCCTGTCCAGAATGATCTAAGACAAGGAGATGCTTTATTGCCACTCCTTTTCAACTTTGCTTTAGAATATGCCAATAGGAAGGTCCAAGAAAACCAAGTGGAACTGAAATTAAATGGAACACATCAGCTGTTGGTCTGTGCCGTTGATGTGAATCTACTGGGTGATAATATATAGAGGGGTCCAAAAAATTTATGCACTCTTTGATAGTCAGTATCTTTGGAACAAAATGACATGTAACAATTCTTGCACGGAGAGAGAGAGAGAGAGAGAGAGAGAGAGAGAGAGAGAGAGTCATTGTATGTGTTTGAAGTAACCACCATCAGCAGCTAAACAGCGTTGATGCTGCCGAACTGCTGAGCGAACTATGGCTGTCAGTGTGTCCGGTGTGATGGCTGCACACGACACTTCAATGGTTTCTCGTCGCACGTTCAGTGTAGCTGACTTTTGTCAATAAACTTCATCCTTCAAGGTTCCCCATAGGTAGAAGTCAAGAGGTGTTAGGTCCGGAGACCATGGTGGGTACCCAATAGCACCTCTTCGACCTATCCGTCATCCAAGTACGCCATGACATCTCAGTGATAGTGAGGTGGAGCACCATCTTGTAGGTAAAATCTCTCATCTCCAAACAGCTCTCGAATGGGAGGGAAAATTGATCTCTGAAGCATATCGAGATACACCTGACCAGTTATGGTACCTTCCAAGAAGAAAGAACCAATCAAACCGCGCGATGACAAACCACACCACACATTAGCACCCAGGAGATTCACTTCCATGCACATGTGAACGTGTGGATTTATAGGAGCCCAGTACACACAATTGTGGCGGTTAACAGTACCGTTCATTTTGAATTGTGCCTCGTCAGACCAGATAACTTTCCCTGCGGAAAGAACAACCTTTTAGCCATTGTTGCTGCTGTTTTCTGCTCGCAGCGTGCATGCAGCACAACACTCATGTTGCCACCTGTTGAGAAAACGTTGCACTACACTACTGCGCAAGAATTGTAACTACATGTCATTTTGTTCCAAAGATATTGACTATCAAAGAGTGAGTACATTCTTTGAACCCCCCTATAGATACCATAAAGAAAAACACACAAACTTTAATTGAAGCAAGTAAGGAGGTTGGTCTAGAAATAAACACAGAGAAAATTAACTATATATTGTCTCATGACCAAAATGCAGGCAAAATCATGACATAATGATAGAAAACAGATGTTTTGAAAATGTGGCACAGTTCAGATATTTGGGAATGATGATGATAAATCAAAACCTGATTCTGGAAGAACTTGGGGAATGCTTGCTACCATTCAGTCTGGAACCTTTTGGCTTCTCGTCTGCTGTCCAAAAACATAAATATTAGAATATACAAAACTGTAATTTTGCCTGTGGTTCTGTAGGGGTGTGAAACTTGGTCTCTGACATTAAGGGAGGAACCTAGACTAAGGATGTTGATTAGAATATTTGGACCGAAGAGGGGTGAAGTGACAGGAGGTTGGAGAAAACTGCATAATGAGGAGCTTCATAACTTTTACTCTTCTCCAAATATAATTAGAATGCTCAAGTCGAGGAGGATGAGGTGGGCAGGGTATGTAGCACGAATGGGGGAGAAAAGGAATGCATATAGGATATTGCTGGGAAAGCAAGAAGGAACGAGACCACTGGGAAGACCAAGGCATAGGTGGGTGGACAGTATTAAAATAGATCTTAGAGAGATAGGATGGGATGGTATAGATTGGGTTGAGCTGGCTCAGGATAGGGCCTGGTGGAGGGCTCTTGTAAACATGGTAATGAACCTTCGGGTTCCATAAAATGCTGGGAAATTCTTGAGTAGCTGCAGATTTGGCTTCTCCTCAAGAAGGGCTCAGCTCCATGAGTGAGTAAGTAAACACAGTCAGGATATGTAATGCATGAAAGAATTCCCAGTAATATCCCAAACAGTCTGTATTAGTAGTACTATTTATTATTGTGTTCTGCAGTTCTTGCATGCAAGACTGACAAGTGAGATGCCTCATGACTTTATGTTGAACTCCCAGCAAACCTCACCAAAGCATGACCTAGCCTGTTGATGATTGGAAACTGTCTAAATTTAAGTGGAATAAATGAAACCAACTCAAAGAATCTGACCTAATGTTTGCTGAGAATGCTGCAGTAACTTGTATCATGCTTGCCATATTGTCATTACATAGTAACAGTGCAGTGATCCATATTCCTCATGTATAAAGTATTATGGGACGGAAATGGAAAAACAGTAACTGGGTTTACAAGTTTACTAACACTGTAACTAGGCCTCGCCATAGCTCAAGCGGTTAGTGGCTGGCTTCCCACCACGGAGGCCCGGGTTCGATCCCAGGTCTGGTCAAGTGGGATTCGTGGTGGACAGAGTGGCACTGGGGCAGGTTTTCTTCGAGTACTTCAGTTTCCCCTGTCAATCTTCATTCCACCAATTGCTCCAAATCACCCTCACCTATCATCTTAGGCTGGTACAATAGGCCAGAAGTGGCCGAAGTACAAGGGACTTAGTCCCACCCCACTAGCAATAAAAGAAAAACACTGTAACTTAACTTACATGCTCGTAGTGTTATGTGCTTTGAATGGAATATGTAAATTGTTATGAACAGACTAATGTATTATGAAACAGTTGTGTTAGTTTATCTGTGAAATTCTAGGAGAAAAAAATAGTACTTGATCCAGCAGTCACCCTTGCACAGCGGCAGAAAGATGCTGAACTGGACATTAAAATTGCAGAGCTAACCAAGGATACAGAATCTTGTAAGTTTTGAATACTGTATTGTAATAATTTGATGTTCATACATTTCTTTGTGTCCTTTGTACACAACATCTGTTAAGTAATTGCATATCAGTTACAAGCCCCTGATTCTGTGCAGAACATGACCTAGCATGAAAAGAAAATGTGTCTGAATTCTAGACAGATATTTCCATGGTGCATTTGCCACTATCAGTATGCAAGCTTGACCCTCAGTGTGCTTTTAAATGACATGGTCTAAGAATATCTTACTTAAAAACATTGCACCAGTCCAGGCATAGCATGTTGCTAGTGTATTTGATCAGTGTGACCATCATCTCGCAGGCTGCATAGAAGAAAACCTGATTCTCTTTCTGCTCTCCTACTTGCAGTTACTGAGCCATGGCCAAGCTTACAGATTGATGATGGCAACTCTACAGAGCCTTGACCAAGTTAGCTAAATCCTATTTACATTATTATAATTGTTTCCCTTCCATATAACACCAGCTGCATGTAGCAGAGACCATAAGAAGCTGATAGTTGCACCATTGTAAAGATTTCCCACTTTCTATGCACTTTCTATGTTTACAGAAGCCTTCCACTGGACCCTATCATGAGCCAGATCCACCTCTTCATACCCTCACACACCAATGTGCTTACATAGGTGAGTCAAATGAAAACTGCAAAACTGAGATAAAAATTTGAAATATCGCACCATTGTCCTATAAATTGGCAGGCATGTAACCAGTGCTATAAAGAGCATTCCTCTTCACAAAAACCCAAGAAGTTCTGGACGCAGCTGTCTGCAGGGAAGATTATGCTGACTCTTTTGGGACGAACGATGCGTACTCTTGGAGCCCTGCACACCTCAGGAGAACACTATACCAGTGCCTCATATTCAGATCTCTTTGACCTGCAGTCAGATCAAAGCGACGTGGACTTTTGACTATAGATGTCCTTTTGCAACATGACAATGCTTGGCCCCCTACTGCCCTTGCAACAGTTGCAACAATCCAAGGCTTGCACTTTGAGTGTCTTCCACATCTGCCATACTCACCAGACCTAGCCCCAAGTGATTACCACATGTTTGGGCCACTCAAAGAGGCGATAGGAGGAAAGAAGTTCCATTCTGATGAAGAGGTACAGCAGGTGGTGCATGAGTGGTTGCACAGACAACCACAAGAATTTTTTTCTAAAGGAATCCATACACTTTGTAAACGCTGGAGGGCCTGTATTAAACGAAATGGAGACTATGTAGAAAAATGATAGTCTTGTGTACCACTTTCATTCAATAAATTAAATTAAAAAAAAATATATGGTTTTGAGATAAAAATTTGAAATATCGCACCATTGTCCTATAAATTGGCAGGCATGTTACCAGTGCTATAAAGAGCATTCCTCTTCACAAAAACCCAAGAAGTTCTGGACGCAGCTGTCTGCAGGGAAGATTATGCTGACTCATTCAATAAATTAAATTAAAAAAAATGGTTTTCATTTGACTCGCCCTCGTATATCTCAGGCTTGTCTTAATTAATACAGTCCTGAAAATGGGTCATAAGTTGAAAAATCATAAACAAAAATCATTATAACATGGAATGTATAAGAGTTTTGTTATTGAAGCACAAGGCCCAGAAACTTAATGATTCAAGCCTCGAGCTTTACGATGGGAATCATTAAGAGTTACGATCAGGGCCCAGATTTTGATGACATATCATCTTTTTATCCTTGTATCCTGTTCGATGCCCATAAATATATAAATCCCGGAGATGAGCTGCTGGTTACAGAAATGTAACTTTTATAGGTCATTTTTGTCATTTTTCATCATTCTTAAGTTTTTAGGTCATTTTTTGTCATTTTAGGCATTTTAGGGAATTTTTCTTCACATGTTTTCAGAAATGTGAATAATATGCAAGTAAAGTGTTCTTTCTCTCTCAAATATCTGCTACCACGTTATGCAGTAAGAAGTTGTAATAATGTCCCATCCTTTCCGTTCATTTGCAGAAAGTGCTGACATTACATATCATAAATCATTTTAAGCTGGCAGCAGGGTATGACAGCGGTCACTCATACTGCGGCCCTTTCCAAGTTCTGTACAAAGGAATTTGCTTAGTTAGAAATATTTCTAGTCAGAATCCCTCGCTTCTTATGACATATTGTTGCTCAATAAAACTCCGTCTGTCTTCAGTGTCTTGCCCTTGACCGTACAGACAAAGATACAATTGATGAAAGGTTCTCAATATGAAAAGTTCAGTACTGTGTTACACTAGATGTCTAAAGCAAAGCCATCTATATTGTGTCATTTAAAGCAGGTTGTAGCTGAATTTGGAGATGATACATTTTCAACTGACGGTAACATTTTATACTGTAAGATGTGTGACACAAAATTAGCGTCAGGAAAATGTTTCACGGTACAACAACATATCAGCCTCAACAAGCATATACAAGAAGTGCAAATTTCAAACAAACAGAAATCTCCGCAAATGTTACTGCAACCATGTTCATCTGAAGACGGAAATAAGTCATCGGATTTTTTCACAGATCTGTGTGACGCTCTGGTGTCTGCAAATACTCCATTTTGGGCTCTGAAAAATGAAAATCTGAAAATATTTTTGGAAGTGAATTATGGTCGTTCTATCCCGGATGAATCCACCCTAAGGAAAAACTACCATTCCAAGTGCTACAACAATATCCGGGAAATGATTAGGAATAGAGTGCATGGGAGGAAGATTTTCATTTCCATTGATGAGACCTGCAATACGGAGGCTCGCTACATGGCAAACATCATCATTGGAACCTTGGAAATTGATGGACCAGGTGAAGTGTTTCTGCTTATGAGTGAGCTGCTAGAATCCGTTAATCATTCCACAATTTGTAAACTCTTTGACAGGTCGATTCTGCTGTGGCCAGAGGGTATACGACACGACATCTTGCTTTTTGTGGCCGATGTAGCCCCATATATTTTAAAAGCAGGCAAGTCAGTAAAGTCATTTTATACGAAATGGTGCACGTTAATTGTCTATCCTATTCACTGATTAGAGTGACAGAGGAAGTGAGATCAAGATTTCCTGAAGTGGATGCTCTGGTGTCATGGACGAAGAAGATTTTCGTCAAGGCTCCAGCTCGTAAAATTCAGTTTAATTCTATGAATCCTGGTGTACCACTGCCCCCAGAACCCGTCATCACAAGGTGGGGAACATGGATTGATGCTACAATTTACTATTGCGATCATTTTCGGGTAGTGAAAAACATTGTAAATTCAATGAAGACGGAGTATGAAAGGGTAGTTGAAGCTGCTCAGGAACAGTTCTCATACAATGAAATGGAAGGACAGCTGGCCTTCATAAAGGCAAATTTCAATTCCTTGACGGAAGGAACCAAATGCTTACAGGAGAGAGGAGCAACGCTAGAAGATTCGCTCGCTCTGGTGAAAAAAATAGCCAGTGATTTGGAGAAAGTGTCAGGGGACATTGGTAAAATGGTGTCAAGAAAAATGAAACATATTCTAGATAAAAACTCAGGTTATGAAACATTATGCAGCATTTCTCGAATTCTGACAGGAGAGTCCTTCAGCACTTTCAACATTGAAGAGGAACTTATTGCTAGTGATTTGGTACTCTTCAAGTACTCTCCCATTGTGTCTGCAGATGTGGAAGGGAGTTTCTCCAAGTAGAGGAATGTGCTATCAGACAGTAGGCGTTGTTCACTCACTTTTGAGAATCTCTGCATATTGACTGTCATCTATTGCAACTCTGAATGAGGTGGCACTTAAATATTGAAATGTGTGGTGTGTTCAAAAAGTATCGAGCCATCTTTTTCCCCTCGTAAACCAATGAAGCGCGGGAGGTTCCCTTCGGTGGCGATGTGGAGGGGACATTCATGCACAGTCGTGAATTTTTTCCTGCCCGCAGAAAGTGTCAGTCGCTGGCAGTTGGCCTATGAGTGAGGACGTGTAGTAAGCGCTCGTTGCATTCCAGTAAGGTGTAAAATGAGTGGCCTCCGTAGTCTAGAGGTAACGTTCCCACCTCATGACTCGTGGTACGCGGGTTCAAACCCGGCGGAGGTCGAATTTTTAAGGGCGGAAAAATTCAGGGAACAAGTCCTCCGGAAGGGACTTTAAGCCATGGGTCCCGTGTCGTAGCTTTATGTCACGTAAAAGAACCTCATATCTCCAAAGGAGGTCACTGAGCCAAATTCAAGAAGGTTTCCCGCCCAACAAGTAGTCTCTAACACCTCTGATAGATGGGGGAAGCATTGTAGATACCGCCAAGCTAGTGGGGGCCGAACTTGCTGGCTCGGTCGGGACTGATGGTGCGCACCAATATCGGTAGGACATAGAGACTGGTAGAATATCATAGAGGGAAGCACAATGGACCAGTACTTGTCTAAGTGCATGGGGAAACCCACCCTCTCCAATAACTAACTAACTAACTAA